TGTTGGGGGTTAGAGTTAGTCTGGCAAGATTCTGTCTAGTAGGTGTAAGCTAATAAAGTAAATGAACTGTTCCAGAATCGTTCCACTGAGCTTCTTGGGCTGAACCTGACAGTTCCCCTAGGGAAAGGTAGAGTGTAGGGTTACACAGGCAAAGGGGGAACAAGTTGGGACAGATTGCTAAGACATCTCCCCCCTTTGTGGGTATGTACAGCACTACCTTCTTGGGCTTTTTTCTAAACTGACCAGGATGCCTGAACTGAAACACAAATCTGGGACATATGGTACGGTTATCCATCTAGAAGGCTGACCTAAGAAACCTCAGCGATGACATACTGACTTATATGGAAAATATGAGAGTGACTAGCCCAAGGTTACCTAGCTGACTTTGTGCCTAGAACTCATGGTCTCACGGCTTCTAGCTTACTGCCTTAACCATTGCACCAAGCTGGAAAAATGAGCCGAACTAACAAAACAGACTTGTGTTCCAGATTTGAAAGAAAGCAAACTGATGGCGTATTTTAAATTCAACCATTCTTCTGTTATCATTCACTGAAACAAAGTAAAACAGAATTGATTTTTTTGTAAACAGAATATATAATAAATCATTTTACTTTTTGTACATGCTATCATATTTGATATACAGTAAATAAACTATTCCCTGAGATAGACAGCAAACTTCCAAATGAGATTTAATTAGCTGGCCAGAAAATGAGATATGCAAATGAACTATAAGTTTAAATATATATATATATTAACACTTGGTGCCCACTAAAATCTACACCTCTATTTGGCAATAAAAACAAACAGGATGTCAGAGAATTTTGCAGAATAGATATTTTTACTTTATTATTTTCTTTAAATAATTCTCTCCTGTTTCATAGTATAAACACAATTCTAACATTGACAATTGTACTTTGCATTTTCTTAGAAATGGTCTGTGTATCTTCCAATTAAAATAATACATTAAAACAAGATGAAGGCTACAGCTTTAAGGCAGCATTAAACAATCCAAGTCGAACTTCATTGATGCTCCTCTTCTTGGTCACATTTGCATGCAGGCTGTACATAGAAATGTATGGCACCAACACAATGAAATTAAGGTCCCAAAACAAATCTTGCTAAAACAGAGCTGCCCTGTTGTGGCTCAAGTATCCTTATACATCAGAACAATCTACTGAAGTTTCACTTTTTTTTTTTTTTTTTGCTAAACAACTAAAAAAGGACAGGATTAAAAAAAGAAAAACATGAACATCACCTAGCTGAGTGCTTTTTCTACAAAGGTCCTACTAAAACAAATGGAATTTCATTAAAAACATTTTTTTTTCCTTGATTCAGTGGACCTGGAAGCTCAAACTGGATTTAGTTCACTGTTATAAGTTGATATTCCACATACAGGAAGCTCAACGTATAAAGACAGGAGGTAGCTAAATGGGAATAATGTTCATTTGCTATTAAATTAAGAGGTCATAAGCCCAATGATAAAATCAGGATTTATAAACAGTCAAGTTGGGCTAAGTTTAACTCACTTCATAGTAGGCTACTTTGCCCAGATGTTAAGGCTTTCTAACACAGTTACAGCTATTTATTTTGCCTCTGTCACCACAGATGCTTGCTACATCATTATGCAAACATGACAAATTTATTTTATTTAGTTAAACATCTGAGTTTCACACATATTTAACTGTGCTGGAAGCCATTAAAATCTATTTGCCGCTATACTGAAGCTTCAACAGTTGTATTATTTAAAGTAAAAGGAAGACCAGTTATCTGAATTTTGTGTGTGTGATTGTGTCTGTGTGGGTATCTCAAAGCTGACTGGTTTGCATGTTTGTCTAAATAAATTATGAATTAAAAGGTATTTCCAAGAGTCCGAAATCCAAACACATTTCAAAAGTGGCCATCGTCATCACCGTCATCACCACCACCTTCATCATCATTTTTGTTTAGAACAGTGTAAGTAGATGCTAGTAAAATAGTGTAGAGAGTAAGGAAGATGACCTTGATGGAGATATGCAGGAACCATTACTTAGGCAAAAGGTGCTGAAACATTTTTAAGTCCAGAACAAGAAGATAACATTCAGAAGCGGCTCAGGCAAACACCTCCCTAATTCACTGAAGTATAAGAAGGAAGAAGAGGTACAGCACAATCAGATATGCAAGATTCTGTTATTATAGCCAGTCTCAATAAAAGTAGTCTTCCTGTGGAGTTGATTTCCAGGCCTGGTCTACCTAGAACGGCTGACAAATATCCAGTTCAGGGTCTGAAATCTTGATTAGCCAAATTATTCACTTGGAATCATTAGCAAAGTCTGGAGCCAAAGAGCTTCTAATGCTCATTTCCCTTATATCTTATGTCATACAAAAAAGACAGATCCTCCAAATTCCTGAGTCTCATTGTGTTAAATTGTGGCTACCAAAGGAAAATTCCTCTAAAATATACTGCATTCAGCTGTATTTATTCCAGGTTCTGATCTGCTCAAGAGAGTTCACTTCAATGTTTCAATGTTTTGCTTCTTTGTTTTTCCTGCTCTCTTATATAAATTTTCACTGCATTTCTGGACCTTAATGTTCCTCCTTTTTTTAAGATCTTCATTTCAAGAGCACCTTCTAACCTTTATCTTTTAATGTCGATACATAACACTTTTTTGATTTTTTGTTCATACTGGCCAAAGAGCACTTTTAACATTTAATTCTGGCAGAACTCCCTCATTTTGGCCTGAAGAGCATCACAAGTCTTCTTAGCATCCCCTAGAAGCATGGAAGTGTTGGGCTTGTAAAAGATTGGATTGTCAACTGCTGCATATCCAACACCTAGAGATCTCTTCATAACGATCACCTGAAATAAGGACTTTTGTGTTAGATATACAGCATCCTTGTAGACATTCAGTAAAATCAATATTAAGAAAAGATGTACTAATTTGTTTGTTAGGCTTGTGTGGTAAGTCTTTTATACAGTGCTTCAATTACTTTAATTCTGCTTTTGATTGATTTACAGAGATTTTATTATACTTTTTACTGACTGTTGTTAGCCACCCAAAGGTCATATGTAAGATGGGCAGCCACATACATTTTCTAAACAAACAAGGTATACAGCTACTGAAAACTTCATCACAATGTAATTCAGAGATGATGGGCACAGGTAATTTATTTTAATTATATCACAGAATCATAGACAGTATAAGTTGAAAGAGACTTTATAGGCAATCTATTCCAATCCCTTGCTTAATGGAGAATCCACTAAATCAACATTAACAGGAAGAATCCAGCCTCTTTAAAAACCTCCAGCAAGAGAGAGCCCATCACTGTTCTAGGAAGACTGTTTCACTGTTTTAACAGTTCTTACTGCCAAGAAATTCCTCATAATAATCACCATGTATTACCTTTCTTTTAATTTCAACCCACTGTTCCCTGTCCTATCCTCAGTTTTGTAACAGAATTAAATCTACCCATTCCTGCACGAGAGCTTCTTAGATATTTGTAGATGACTACCGGATCTCCTTTCAGCCTTTTCTTTTATAAACTAGCCATGCCCAGCCCCTTTAAAATTTCCTCCTGGGGTTTGGTTTCCAAACTCTTTATCACTATGATAACTTCCTCTGAACCTGCTCCAGGTAGAACTAGACACAATATTCCAAGTGTGATCTAACCAGCACAGAGTACCACAGAACCATTACCTTCCATAATCTGGGCACAATGCTTCCCTTAATACAGCCCAAGATTGCCTTGATCTTTTTAACTGCTGCGTCACAGCAACTTTTTCACCACATGGAGTTCCCTGAAGTCCTCAACTGAAGTTAATTCTTCTGATTTTTCTTTTATCTCTCCCTTTCTTTAAAATGAGTCTTAGGCTGCTTGTATGAAACACAGCACTTTGGAAGATATTTTTCCAAAGCATTATTTCCCCAAAAAACATGGAAAGGACACTATTTCTTATGTAGCATAATTTCCAAGGCTTATCCATGAATTCTGGTGGTAGAGGATGCACAGAGCTCTAGCTGGTAATTGCTGGCCCTCGGATAGTTAATAAAAAGCAAAAATAAGGGGGGAAACCCTTTGTCAATTAAAACCAAGGAAAGCCAAAAGCTCTCTGAAAATAATTTTGAAGGTATCCACTTTTTTCATTCATCCAAAAAATAGTTCTTCAAAGACTGAATGATTTCAAGAAGATGTGGGTTCTTGACCAATATATCAAAGACTGCAGCCAACAACACAATTACTTTCCCCCCGCAAAAACCCTTGGTTTTAACAGTATACCCACCAGCCCACTAAAAACTGGGGGTGGGAGGGAGAAAAAGGGGTGCTAATACCAGCACTGCCAACAGTAGACAGTTTTCAAATAATTGTGTTCTTTTCCTTCTCAGCTGACTCTTGTACACTTAATAGCACATTTCTACCCAAGCTGTTCAAGGAAAAAAAGATAGGAGAGCTGTGGGGTATTAGCAGATTTCTGAATAAGTAAATGGCTTTAAAGAAATCAATAAGGCATGGAATTTCTACTACAATATTTTGTAACTCACCTGCTTTGCCTTCCAAACTTCAAGAACAGGCATTCCAGCAATGATAGAATTTGGATCTTCTTGGGCAGCTGAATTAACTGTATCATTAGCTCCAATGACAAGGACCAGATCCGTTTCTGCAATAAACATACAAGGAAAAAACACATAACAATTTATGAACAGAACTCCAGTTCCTGCTGTTAGTAACATCTTATATTCTGGGTTAGATACCTCTTATCCCGAAGCCCCTAATCCCACTAAGAACTGCAAATGGGCAAGAATGACATTCCCCAAACTTGATCCTGGAAATAACACATTTGTTCTTCTTCAAGCTGCAAAACATTGCATAAAATTAATGAGGAACAGCATGAAAAGTGTAAAGTTTCAAAAAATGAACAACAGTGGCTTTTTTAATAGAGTGCACTGCCTTCAAACTGCTATTATTTAGGTTGATAGTTGCAGTGTACAAGAGAAAACATTCTTAACCAGGGCTCCCAGGCTTTGCAACTTCCTACTAAGGGAGCCAGGCTAGTTGCACCACTGCCGTTTGTCTGAGGTCAGACAACTATATTTTCATTCAGACAGGGTTTGGGCTCTTAAGATGTCTTGTTTGTTGAAAAAAGTTCTAATTAGTGGGTGCTGTTTATTTCTCTTTTATTTTTATATTTTTATATGATTGTAATCCTAGCTGACTTTGTTTGTGTGTTCAGTCGTTAAGTCGTGTCCGACTCTTTGTGACCCCATGAACCATATT